AAAGTACCTTCACGAATATATCCTCAACAAGAGCAGGTGTTCTAAGTGTTTCTGTAGACATGGGTCCTTCGGATTTCGTAGAGATGTCAGTAGTAGTAGTAGTATATTACTGGCATGGTCAAGCCAGATATAGTGATTCTCTTTTGTTGCCGAGTCCGCGTCACAGTAGAAGATAAGGTGGAATGAGTCCTTGATCATGATATGGATGTGACACAGCCACATTGATGCGTCAAAGTTGGTCCTGTTTCACTGGATCAGCGTCCCTCCTCCTCCTGTTTCGTACATTGTATGGCACCGATCTACCTTTCCGCACCCTTGGTCCTTTATAGGTCATACTACAAAATTAGGTGCTATTGAGTAAGAGCCTTTACTCGTAGTAGTTAACGACGACCTCCTCCCAGGTGGCATATGTCATGGCACCGCTATAGCCAGACAAATGAGGACGCTCTCCCTCGGGGTGATTGACAGTCTTACTGCCGCCTCTCAGCGACATTATCTTGTCTGTTCGTTCCTCAAATAGATCGACAAAACCGGCAAACGTGATACTGAATCCATCCTGGGCGCGGAACTGCACGCTATCAGGAAGTCCCCAGGACGATATATGAGCAGTCGAGAGCGCTTGCGCTCGCGGATGCGAAACATGATATTTGTGTATGAGTGATGAAGGAGGACTGCTGGAGGATACGACCGCCCATATTGTGGAAGTATCGTCGGATAGTGGGGATATATGGGATTCTAAACGAAACTTGGGCTGAGAAATGGCGTTGCCAATCCCTATGCTGGTTACAGGGTCTATTATGTCAATGGACGACGCAAATTCCGCCTCATAGCCTACCAGAGCGTCGCCTCTCCAGATTTTTAACTCGAGTGTAGACGACGACGGCGCGACGCCCTGTCGCAACACCACAATATGTTCTGGGACAAGGGCAATTTCAAAAAAATTCTAAGAGCCGTCAATGGAGAACGTAAGCCAATGGTGCTAGAGAGAAAACCTACCGGGGAGACTTCAAGTATAGACCACGCAGACGTGGATATTTGTAAAGTTATCAAACCTGGGTGATATAGAATGGATACGATAGCAAAATCGCCCCGCAGCTTTAGACGTCGATACGGATTGTCGTGGCCGGTATCTGGGCAGGTCTTGGTGAGAAGGGAGGTTGACAGCCCCGTTTGCAGATCCAATTTGACTACCTCGAGGTAGCTAAACAGATGAATATTTAGCACAACAACTCGGAATGAATGAAAATTCCTCTAACTTCTTGCGTATGGCTTCGTATGTGCGGATCTCAAGTAATATAACGACACTTTCGCCGTCGTCAACCATGTCTGCTGAGTAGCGCACGACGTCGGCCCGGCTCCAGGAAGACTTATACTCCCATATGAGCCGATCATCGGCGGTACTCCTGCACTCCAAGGCCCCCTCATGTTGAAAGAGGATAAATTGGCCACCGGGAAGCAGTTGTGGCTCATTGTACCAGGTGAGATTTCCAGGCCCATTGCGGATGTTGGGTTTGAGTATGATCTCCCGCGCTACTACGGGTGGACTCTCATCTGGCGTTAACCAAGTGTTGGGGCCATGGACAGTACGTTTCGCTAGTTCGAGGAGCTCGTGAGTGGAGAGATCTTCCAGTCGACGTTCGGGGAAGAGATCGATGAAGCCGCGCCTGTAAAGATCTGATAGAAGGGCGAGCCAAACGTGTTTCGACGTTGAAAGCGAATGGAGGGTCCGATTGGCCTTTGATGATCGTACGCTCGTGAGCACTTAGACTCATGTTAGGCGGAGAACATTACGCGTACCAGGCTGCAAGTGAGGACGGTGGCGATGTCGCATGAACAGAGTATCTTCAGGAGGATATCCTCGACAAGAACAGGTGTTCTAAGGTTTTCTGTGGACATGCCGTCCTTGGGATCTCGTCAAGATGTCAATAAGAGATCCAGTGGTTCTCCGAGTCCGCGTCACAGCTGTAGCTGGCGGCCTGCAGAATTCAGGAAAGAGTTGTCGCTGTTGTGTTAATTTGGCAGAGTATTTGCGGACCGTGCCCTCCGAGTAACATCCGTCACCGTCACGCGCTGTTCTGCCATTCTTGGCCGCCGTGGCAAGTGCGCGTCTATCACATCCATCATGCTTCGACCTATACCACGGTGTTCTACAGTTCTAGAATCTGGAAACCAGTACTCAAATACTTGTGAACGATGATGGCAGATCTTTATGAGCCCAAGTAAAACTCGAAATTTTATTGAGATCGAATATCCTGCTAAATTTCGATTCGTAGGTCCCCCATATCTCCCACGTCGCCCTCATCCAGGTTTGAGCAATATGGTAGAAACTATCTCCTGTGAAAGCTAATGTCCTTGCTCCTCGCAGCATATTCGACGACTCTTTACCCAAGATCTTCGCTCTCATCATCGGGATCAACACTTACGCCTCGCAGGAGTTCGACGATCTGACGGCTGCAGTAGGAGACGCTGACAAGTTCGAAGACTTCCTGCGAGATAAGCTCAACGTCCCAGACGAAAATATTACTAATCTGCGAGAAGGAGAGGCGACACGAGCAAAAATCATCGAGGCCTTCGTCGCATTGCGCGACAACCCTCGGATCATCGAGGACCAAGCAGCAATTGTTATCTACTTTGCAGGACATGGTGCCTGCGTACCTAAGCCCGTAGGGTGGGCCGACTGGGTCACTGCAAGCGGCGAGATTGAGGTCATGTGCCCAACAGACATGGGTCTCCAGGCTAGCGATGAGGAAGAGCCTGTGCCGGGAATCCCTGATCGCACAATCTCTGTACTTTTGAATCACATTTCTGAACTCAAAGGAAATAACATCGTGCGTTTCTCCCGTCGGTCACGATTAAGGTTCCTGAAACTCCTTCACCAGACTTTGATCCTCGATTGTTGCAGCTCCGGTGGCTTGAATCGAAACCAACATAAAGTCACTGGGGCGCGAGATATCTCGAACGATCCCATAGCTCAATGCTACGTACCGCGGCAGCTTTTCAACGCTCCCAGTATCCCCCCGGACTGCGATGAGAAGATCCTGTCCAAGGATTCTGTCCGAGGTGCTGCGGTGGCCCAAGGATTCTCTGGAAAACATCATGCTTCACACGTCCTGCTCGCTGCCTGCGGACGCCAGCAAGTAGCTTACGAAGATCCCCGAACTAACAGTGGCCTATTTACTTCCGGTCTTCTGAAGACATTGTCCGGGCTGAACGTCAATGATCTGACCTACACAAATCTCATGCACCGCCTAGCGATGCCTAGATGGTGTGTACCAGCTTTGGTGATAGGCTGATGCGAAAAGCTTACCATGTGAGCAGGCAAACGCCGCACTGTGAAGGTCAACACGTTAACAGGCGTCTGTTCAACAAGCGAGCGTTGGGGGCCGACGGGTCTTTCATCCTTGGTCAACTCGAAAAGAAAGAGGACGGATCCACGCGCTACGTATTGCATGCGGGAGCTGCGCAAGGTATCACCGAAGGCTCGACCTTTGGGATCCACGCCTCGAACCTTACTTCGGACGTGAAGCACTCCAACCCCTCACTTGGCGTGTTTGTGGCGTCAAACATCGGAGCGTTCAAGTCCGAGATCAATCTCCCACTGACCACGCCAGCCTTTCCCGTACCCCGTCTTTTCTACTGTAAACTTATACGGCGCGGCACAGAGGGCATCAAAATTTTCTGCGAGGACAAGGAGTGGCTTGAAACCGTCTTCCCAGCCCACCTACGCGAAGCTCTCTCGGTGGCATTCACCGACAACCCCGCCGTATCATCCCTGCAGCTCACCCTCCTCGACGACAAGGTGCATTTCACGCGGACCGACCCCATGATCACGCCCTGGATAGGGTCAAACATCCCGCACACCGTAGAAAAGCTAGACCACGATCGCATCCGCGAGATCGTGCGGCGCGCCATCCACTTCAACCACCAGCTCACGCGCACCGCTCCGGACGATTTCAAGGATGTGTGGATGGAGCTCAGAGTGCTCGAGTCGAAATACAGTGTAGACCATGGCAGCACACTGACCCCCATCGGCCCCAACCTCATCGAGAATGAGCCTGCGGGTGTCGTTGTCGATGAGGATGCGAGACTTGGGATGGCCATCCATAACAGGACCGACCTCCCGCTCTACCCCTACCTCTTCTACTTTGATCCTTCGGATCTCGTCATCAGTATGTATATTTTCGCTATCTCATTCCAAATGTATATGAGCAGTGACCTACTTCAATCCCGTAGTTGAATGGTACACGCCGCCTTTTGGTGCGGGGCAGGGACGCCTGACGACTGAAGTCGATGCTCCTTTGCCGCCTCGCGGGTATCTGTCTATCGGATATGGAGACGGGGGCTTTTCGCCGTGGCAGTTCCTCTTGCGCGACGGGGAGGACGTGGATGTTGGGTTCTTCATGCTGTTTCTGTCGACGTCCCCGGCGGACTTTTCGAGCATCTCGCAGGAATCGCCTTTTGAAGAGAATGTGTCGCGGTTGGGTCGCCTTAAGGCGGCTCAGCTTCCGGATGCGGAGAGGTGGGGTGCGATGCTTTCGACGGTGGTACAGGTGAGGTATGAGAGGCAGTTGCCGCTGAAGGATGTTAATGGGCTGGGTACCGAGACTTTTGAGTAAGTGGCGGGATTGCTGGACAGCGAGGGGTGGGAGCGCACGTAGTCAGTCATCAAATGTGGTAGAACTTCTTTGTCCCTCCGTACAGTTTAGCTGGAGACTCATCCTATTCGGTCATCTCTCTTGGACCAGCATGTCCTTCCTGTAAGTTCCCGCCCCGTTTCCTTTTCGATCGTCGACGAACCTGTCACTGAGCTCCATGCCGGACTACGCTCAATCGATGTACTCGAGTAAGTTCTAACCTGTGATCTCCTTCCATCCTTAGTCGCAGTGAAGCGCCAAAAACCTGGCCTCGCCCGCCACCTCGCCCGCACTCAAAAGTGTAGAATCCAATGACACCGCACAGTCAAAACCAAAAGTAAAAACATATAACCAAGAATCATTCAGTGATGAGAATGGGATTCGAACCCATGCCCCCGGAGGGACCAGATTGGTATGAATGCATCATGCAGCCAGCTTTGTAACCTTAGTCTGGCGCCTTGGACCGCTCGGCCATCTCACCATACATGCTGCCCCCTCGGGGATCCCTTCCGGTTCTTCTACTTGCTGATGTTGTCGCTTTTGAAGATCGCTCACTTCAGAGCAGTGGGTAGAAGAATCGGGTACACTCTACCAATTTATACCATTCTGGGACCGAGTGTGGCGCCTTGGAATCCTTGACCACCCCACCCTCCACCCATACACCCATACACCCAGCCCAGCGATCACACCCCAAACCCAAACCCATACCGTACCAAGCCTAATTATCTGACGTCATCACCCCGTACAACACGAAACTAATATATGCCCTGTGGCTTAGTTGGTTACGGCGTCCGACTGTTAACACTCTCCAATCGGAAGATCGAGAGTTCAAGTCTCTCCGGGGCAGTTATTTTTTCTTCTTCTCCCTTTTGTGGGTGTATTCTCCGAGATACCTCCGTGCCACTTGCTGACTCTGCTGAGTCCTTCACCACGGCCCGGGGTATGGTTTTAGTCTTTCACAGTATCCATTCGAGGTAGAGAGTTGAGAGAGGAGCCGGGGGTAATAGGTTACATACATGTTCGACACGATCCTCGTTCCGAATCCGCTTTACATAGAGGCCGTCATGTAGATGTCCACGGCGTAGCTACATGGAGTATAGTATGTTGATAGGTGTATCATGTATGTCGAGGTAATACAAAGAAAACGGGCAGGCGACAAAGGCGATTATCCTTCAAGCGCCTTCACGATACCGAACGCGGCCCCGGCTGCAAGGCCTCCTACCAACAGCGTACTGACCGCGCCCCAAACATATCCAGTGGTACCTACACCAGCACCCGTAACGTGAGCCTTCACCGCGCCGAAGACGAGAAGGACTATGCCGGTGACGATGGAGGAGTATATGAGCGCAATGTGTGCGCGGGGGATGAAAAAGTAGGGTAATAGAGGGATGAGGCCACCGATGAGGTAGCCCATGCCGATGGTAAACGCCGAGATGTACAGACGCCTATTCGGGACCTCCTCTGCACATATACATATTCTGAGTCAGCCATGCAAAGAAACCAAGGGCGAGGAAAGTAAGAGGACGTACCCAGGCCCAGCCCGAATTTCAACAGGAACGCAGTGACCCCCACATCCTTACTCCACCTCAAACTCGCCGTCTCCTCATCCGCATTGCGATGCCCATCCTCATTTGACCCCACCTCCACCTCCCTCAAACTCCGCGCCACAGCGCTACACGTCTTCTCATCCACCCCCACCGGCCCCAGCACATCCGCCACCTCCCTCTCCATCTCCCCGTCACAACTCCGGACGACCCGGGCGGCGGTCTGCTGCTTGAGGTACAGGTAGTGGTCGCGCTCGGACTGGGAGGCGAGGAAGCCGCCGATGCCCATGGAGATGGCGCCGGCGATGAGCTCGGCGACGCCGCCGAGGATGACGAGCTTGGATTCGCCGAGGGAGGAGAGGCCGGCTGTTAGGGCGAAGGGGACGGTGAGGCCGTCGGAGAGGCCTATTACGCTGTGGGGGTGTTTAGTATACGGGAAGGGGAGAGGGAGATCGGGGTAAGGAAGGAAAGGGGGGGTACTCACACGTCGCGGACGACATCGGGGTCGATGAGGGTGCGCTGGTCGGCTTTGAGCTCTTTGCAGCAGATACCGTCATCTCGCGTGGGCCGGGCACACTTTGCGGATAAGGGTATGCTGGAGCCTGTGCGCGATAGCTTGACGGGCCATACGGGGGGCTTCTGTGGGTGTGTGGTATCACGAGCGGGGAGAGGTACGGCGGGGGGAGGGGAGGAGGAGGAGGAGGAGGAGGAGGACATGGTGGATGCGGGTAGAGCGCTTGTGGAAAATGAGTGTGCCGTGTTCGGAGATGTGACGTAATACGCTTGTGACGATAACGCACGCTGATCGGTAAATTTAAGCTCTTAGATCTTAGATCTTGACCCGGACCGTACTCTTACGCTGCTTGCCAAGAGCAGGCCAGCGGTATGTACGTTCGACACATCCCAGGACCCAAACGAGGGAAATGCTATCCAGGGCCAGCGACAACGACGAGAAGAGTGACGCCGATCGCTATGACCCATGACGACGCCAGTGACGCCATTGAAATTCTCCCGACTTGACCTCCGCCGCCATGGTCTCCCTCTCCGAAGCCAAAGCCGTCAACGCATCCTACAAACCCCCCTACATCCCCACCGCCATCTTCGTCGGCGGCACCTCCGGCATCGGCCGCGCCATGGCCGCCCACCTCGCCCGCACCACCAACGGCGCCTGCAAAATCATCATCATCGGACGCAACCCCACCGCCGCCTCTGACCTCCTCGCCTCCCTCCCACCGCCCCCACCCGCCTCCGGCGTGACGCACGAGTTCGTGCAGTGCGACGTGCGCCTCATGAAGAACGTGCACGCTACGGCGGGGGCGCTCAAGGCGCAGCTTGGGAAGGTGAATTTTTTGGTGCTGAGTACGGGGGTGTTAAGGCTGGGTGGGAGGAAGGACACGGAGGAGGGGGTGGATGAGAAGCTGGCGCTGATATATTATTCGCGCTGGGCGTTCGTGCATGATTTGATGCCGCTGTTGGAGGCGGCTGCGGGGAAGGGGGAGGAGGCGAAGGTGATGTCGGTGTTGGCGGCGGGGACGCCGCTGTGTGGGGAGGTGGATCTGGATGATTTGGGGATGGTTAGGAGTTATGGGGGGTTCAAGGCGATGAGGGTGGCGCCGACGTATAATGATCTCATGTTGGAGGTATGGTTTCGTCACCTTTTCTTGCTATGTTCAAGAGGAATCTCTGATCTGATAGCGTGTACTGGCAGAAATTTGCCGCCCTCCACCCCAAGGTGTCCTTCACGCACGTGTACCCAGGCACCGTCCTCACGAACATCTTCTTCCCCACGACCTTTCCGTGGAAGCTCCTCAACCCCCTCATCTACGCCATTGTCTGGCCCTTCAGTACCTCCCCCGACACATGTGCGGAGTACATGTGGTGCGCGCTGCATACTGCTGGGCCTGGATTCCATCGCATGGGTGAGCGGGCGCAGGACCGGGGAATGGCGTATTATAAGGGCACGGAAGAGGCGAGGGAGAAACTTTGGGAGCATACGAAGGAGGTTACGAAGTCGGAAGGCTGACTGATTGACCAGGAGGGGGGACTATGCTGCAAAAGGACCGATCCAAAATCCTCCAAATCGGCCGTTTCTGTCACGACCAATTTGCCCGATTTCTGTACGCCGGCGGATCGGGTGCGCCCAAGGTGCGCCGAAAAACGGTAATTTCTGTACGCCCAAGTGATCGAACCTGCAGTTCTCCTCCTAAATCGATTACGACGACACATAGCTAACTTTAGGGGCGCATAGGCATGTAGAATAATGTAGAATAGCGAAAGAAACAAGAAACTGTCTTAGGTATACCATCCTAGTCGCCGTCAGACTCAGAATCGAACTCGTGAGTCAGGTTCAGAAGGCTTAGAGGTGGCCAACCGAACTGTTGCTTGCGAGTGGCTTCAACATAAGGATTCAGCGCCTGCGCAGCGCCGTTAACATCGTGTAACGAGTCCTTCGACCGAGAGTACAGCTGTTGAGCGCTGAGCATCTAGTCCGAGGTTAAGAATATTCATGGATGAGCATCGGTGCTCGTCGACCCTTGCTTTTGGTTTCTTTCGGGTTTTCTGTACGCATCCGGATCGGTCATGTACCCAACTCTCAACGTTTCCCAGACGCACCGAAATACCAGATGCATGCCATGTATGATATGATAAAAGTACAAAATGACTCCCCTTCTCCCCCTCCCAGAACTACACCCGACCCCACGCGATATCAGTCCTCCCTCTCCAAAAACCCCACCCCCCCAGCCCTCACCTTCCCCATAAAACTCTCATACCACTTCACGATCACATTCATCGGCACCGCCAGCTCCGGGCTCACCCCCCCTCCCACAAAGCCCGCCACATAATTAAACAGGTGCTTCACAATCCGTTCCGCCAACAGCGTCGGGTCCTTCCCCACCCCATTTCCCTCCCCTCCTGCGCGAGCCATCGTGGTGGGGAGGGTGGCGAGCTGGGCCTGAATTTGGGGGAGGGGCTCGATGGAGAGGCCGAGGACGGCGGTGACGTCGTTGGTTGTGGTTGTGGTGGGTTGAGTGGGGGAGGTGGAGGAGAAGGCGGTGTGGGAGGTGGAGGAGGAGGGTTGGTTGAAGGTGCCGCGGAGTCGGAAGATGGCGGAGGGTTTTTCGTTGGAGATCCTGCATGTCATTGTCATGATCAGTGTTCGTGTTAATGTTGTGGGATGAGCGGGAGACTCACATCCCAAGAAGCTGAAACCCTTTCCCAGGCCAATAAAAATGGACACTCGCGCCGTATCCGTCCGGAAACGGTACTAAAATGAGCGGAATATGAGAGATCGGATCGAGGGCCTCTTGTAGGTGTTAACGAGACGTACTTGTTCCGAGGAGGAACACCATGACGTGGTTTATCGTGCTAGCAGCGGGCAGCTCGAAGTAAGCGTGCGTCTCGTCGACTTGTTGGAGGTTCGTCTGCATGAGACGGCCTGCGACGCAGCATCCGAACATCGTGCCTCCCGATTAGACTTTAGTTGCTAGAGTTGGAGTTGGGGGTGTCGAGCGCTGAGAGAATCTTAGGACGCGGGATGGTGGGGATCCGGGGAGAGGGCGCTGCGTGTAGGGCTGGTGTGGTCAGGATGGAGGGGGCGACATGCTTTGAATTTTTGTACGACGCGGAAGCTGGAAGAATGTGGCGGAATATCTGGACGGCGTCACATGATTGTGATGCGAACGTTGAATCAAGTTTGAACCAAGTCCCTTCGTTCTCTCGGTCTGGTCATGCCACTGGTATGGCTGTCCTGCTACGTCGATTGCACTCTCCCTGGCGTTAACGCTGTCGTTGTACAGGATTCTCAATACGCACCTCTATTGGCAGCATGACACACACATCGGACCCGCTGGAGATTTAGACATGAAATAACCCATCGTCAAGCAATTTTATAGGCTATGACAGACTCGTGAAGCCGACTTGATGTCTGACCCAGCTA